TCTCCCGTCACCTGGATACCCACCCACTCGCATTGTGCTTTCTTCGCTGTCTTTGCTTGCGTGGTAGATGGGATTTGCGAGTGTAAGTGACCATAATTGCGACGCCCGTACTGTAAGCCGTGATTTCGTTCTGGGGTAGTGATGGGACTGACGTCGCACTTTGTCACCTGATGTTGAGCTCGCAGCTGATTGACTGTAAATGCTCAGGACGTGTGCAGTTCTCGGTAGTTAGTATGCTGGTGTTTCAGGGAGATATCTGAGGCTGCAGCTGGGAGCGACAACTCTTTCGGTTATATCCTTGTATTGAACATTGAATTTGTGAATGAACTGGTAATGATTGCCTTCAGCGTATACAGAACATAAGGATCACCAATCTGTCTGCAAATCCTGTAGAACAAGCATCTTTCTTGCTGAGCAGCAGTGCACATGATAGTTAGGGTTCTGGAGGAGCAAGTGTGAGTGGACCAGAGTCATTATTGGTTTCCTGATTATCTATTTTTAGAATAGCATGTGTCATTTTTGGCTCCACACTGTTCGTACTAGATCTATAGCAAACTTGGAATTACTGTGCGCGGGAAAGAATGCCGTTGCCTTCTCCACTGCAAATAGTTGTTGGCGTGTTAGACTCATCCACCTTACTCTGATTTTGATGCTGTAATGTCAGCAGCAGGTGTGATGTTTGAAAATCGTTGTGGTTTTGTCAAACGAATAAAGTAAAATTCACGAGGACTGTGGGTATTAGCTTGTTTATCAAGACATGTGGCTACAGTTTAGTTGCTATTTACTGTTTTTTATGCTCAGTATGGTACTGTACCTCATATAGAAATATGAGCCCAGTTTGTGAATTGATGTGCTGTACTATGCTATGCCATGGAGCCTACTAACTTAGGTATTCACTCCCAGTGATATATTCCTATTATGGGCCTGCATAAGTGTTATGCTAATGAGTACAAAGGTCATATTGGTTAGTTAATATTTCCCAAAGTAGAATAAGAAAAATGCTAAAAAAGATCACTTCAAAGACAAACTCACCTCTAGATGGTTTGTCACCATCTGCGGAACAGATTGTGCGACAACTGTATGCATGAAAAAGAAACTAAAATAGCATAGAAATAAGCTGAGAAGGGTTTATATTTCTATGCAATCTAGTTAGCAATTAATTTATTCTAGTACGAGTCGAAATGACTTTTCATACTTCGAACTGAATGACTAATAAACTTAAAAGTACGAAAGATATGTGATGAAATGATGGTAGTTAGCATTTTGATACTTTTAGTAGGAACATAAGTTGGTACATTAACTGATACTATCTTTAGCGTGATGATCTACTGCATTTATTGGACGCTGCATAAGTCATTATTAGCATGGGCTGTCTGGTTGTGTGATGTTCATGTGATATCCTTTTTTATATTTTGTTCGGTTTTCAGCAAGACACTGTGTGGACTTCATATATACTTCAGTGATCGTTGTTTAGGTGCTTTCAAGGAAGCAGGATAAAACTTGCATAAAGTCATACTCAAACTGTGCAGATGGAGCTTTTGCTTCTCTTTGTTCAGATCATATTGTCAGAAGACTCTCTTTTGTCAGTATGGCATACTAAACTGTTATAATTTCATGTAACAGCAGAGAAGTCAACAGAAAATGGTAGCAGGAATCAACCGGTCGCATTGGTAGTCTCAGGTTCTACAACTACTAGTAACGCTGAAAGCAGTTCATCCGCATCTAAAGTTGGAGAAGAGATAAAAGTTGCCTCCCAGCTGCGCAAGTTTGCATTCAATGATCTCAAATGTGCTACCCGGAACTTCAGGCCTGAAAGTCTCCTTGGAGAAGGGGGTTTTGGATGTGTTTTTAAAGGGTGGATCGAAGAGAACGGAACTGCACCCGTGAAACCTGGTACAGGTCTCACAGTTGCTGTCAAGACGCTAAACCATGACGGGCTTCAAGGGCATAAAGAATGGGTGGTATGTGCTATGTTTTACCTATTTCCAAGTTCACATATCATCTTGTTTACATATTTTTGGTTTCAATTCATGATGACTGCGTCTGATACTCTGTTTTAATTGATCTCTTCCAGGCTGAAGTTGATTTTCTTGGAAATCTTCACCATCCCAATTTGGTCAGGTTGATTGGATATTGTGTTGAAGATGACCAAAGGTTGCTGGTGTATGAATTCATGCCTCGTGGCAGTTTGGATAACCATCTTTTTAGAAGTATGTATCTGGCTTATTCCTTATCGATTGGAGCATTAACTTCTCTTCACCTGTTTTTCTTAAGCAAATAATCATGTATCATATGAGGGTGCATGTTGTTCTGCTGTATTTATTTGGGTGTAGCTTAGACAGCCTTTAAATAGTATCATGGAAATGTTGAATCTTAAGTAAACCATCATGCTTTCTACTGTAGGGTCTCTTCCTCTTCCATGGGCTATCAGAATGAAGGTTGCACTCGGAGCAGCAAAGGGTCTGGCTTTCCTTCATGAAGAAGCAGAAAGACCAGTCATTTATCGTGATTTTAAAACATCTAATATACTGCTGGATGCGGTAAGTTAATGAATAGGATTATGCAGTGTGTGCCTCATGATTTACATACTGTTGCATCATATGTTATATTGCTTGTACAGGAGTATAATGCAAAGCTCTCCGATTTTGGGCTTGCGAAAGACGGACCTGTAGGTGATAAAACTCATGTCTCTACTCGAGTAATGGGAACATATGGATATGCAGCACCAGAATATGTCATGACTGGTAAGCACGTCGTCAGATCTGCCCTACCTTTTTTTCTTACACCTCTTTCGGAGTACAGCTGTAGCATCTGTTCATGTGTGTAAATACACCTCCCCCTCCCCTGTGCGACACAAACACAGAGGCAGACCTAGAAGTCTAGATCTACCGTCAGTAAGGAAGATCACTTCCCTAGAGAGGTTGACAGTACGATTCAAGTCTCCATAGGTCACATTACATTCTCATGGCATCACACTCAAGAGGCAATGAAATATTTCCCTGGACCTGCACTGGTGCGACACCTGAGTGTCCATCGAACTCTGGTTAGCAGTCTGGCCACTGCCAGTGCTACCAGTGAGCAACGAACCCATTCACTAGATTCAGCTAACCTGTCCTAAAATCGAGTATCTGCTTGTCGTGTATTAAAATCAATGTTTAAGTGTGCTGAGATAATCAGTTATCCATCACTTGATGCTTCTACGAAGACATTTAAGGTTGGAAGTTATGCTTGTTGGGAGATGTTGTAATGCTTTACTGCCGCATGCGATACTTGTTTGGATAATATGCTAAGTTTCCATTAGTGGTATGTTTGTACTGGGGTAATGATGTTTAAAATATCTACCTAAGATGGGCAAAGGGGTTTGTTCAGAACCATGCAATCCTAATATACACAGGAATATGTGGAACACTTAGTTGCAACGCTTGCAACTTTACATGTGTCTGTGTGCTACAAGACCTTTATGTAGTGAAAACTTAAAACACACTGGCATGGGCAAATTAAAAAGGTTTATCAGCTAAACTGTGGAAATGGGCGTGGTAGTTCACATAGAATGTAGATTTTCTGAGTGAGTTGACCCCAGCAATCACATATCCTAAGATTACACCACTATGTTTACATAGAATTTTTTTTGGCTGAAGTGTTTACCTAGATTTGCATTGGCTTCACATTCATAATGTTTAAGGAATAATTTGAGTACCTTGTTCTCTTAAGATTTAAACACCCTTTTACTCTACTCTTTACACACCTGGTCTTTGCTTGACGTGCATTTTTGTCTTTCTGCCCCACTTCTCAGGTCATCTGACATCAAAGAGCGATGTCTACAGCTTCGGGGTCGTGCTTCTTGAGATGATGTCAGGGCGCAGGTCAATGGACAAGAATCGCCCTAACGGGGAGCACAACCTCGTTGAATGGGCACGCACCCTCCTAGGAGAGAGGCAGCGCTTTTACAAGCTAATTGACCCTCGCCTGGAGGGCAACTTCTCAGTGAAGGGCGCCCAGAAGGCCGCCCAGCTAGCGCGCGCCTGCCTCAGCCGGGACCCCAAGGCGCGGCCCTTGATGAGCCAGGTGGTGGAGGTCCTCAAGCCGCTGCAGAACCTCAAGGACATGGCGAGCGCCTCCTACTTCTACCAGACGATGCAAGCTGAGCGGATGGCGCACTCGAACAGCATGAACGGGAGGAGCAGCCACGGCTTCAAGACGCAGAGCCGGTTCGGGCGGAACGGGCAGCCGCCCGTGAGGAGCCTCTCCGACGGGCCCCGTGCCTCCCCGTTCCGCTACTCGCCAAAGCCGAACGTGAAATGAGTGGAGGGCCTGGAGGCACATGGCTGCGGCGGTTTTCTGCTGGTTGAAGGCACGGCCCCTGGAGTAGTAGGTGCGGTGGTGAAACCTGGTTTGTTGGGGGTGACTGGTTCGGGCCGTGCATTGCATTGGGGCGTCGAAGTCGGACCATAATTGATGTGTGTTGTAGATTGACATGTGCACAAAGGAAAGGATATAGGCGAAAAAGGAGGTGTAGGTATCGGAGTTTCCTTGGTGGATGGATGGATGTTTGCTGTGAGGTTTTAACTGAATGAATGCTATGGACCATTGCTGTATCTTTTTGTCCCAGTCAAGTAAGGTAGCCATAGGTGACTTCCTTTCAGCCTGCGTGCGGTGCATCGTGAAATCTTGCGATAGATAGTTGCTCGTGTTAGATCTGATGAAGAGAAATGCTTCGATCCCTGCCTGTCGAAGCAAAACAAAAGAGGAATCATTATTCTTTCAACAATTGATGAGTCATATGGAACAATGTGCGTCCTGATCGTTTGGCTTATAAGATGTACTTTTTCAGTCAACGAACAATATTTTTTTCTCACAACAAATCAGCCAATAGTACTTTCAGCCATGACAGCCAAAGCGAACAGGGCAGTGATCTCGACGTAGCCATTATTTTTACAAACTGAAGACTCGAATTCATGGGCAATTCATCGACGGGATCTCTCGTGTTTCCGGAATGGCAGATGGCCAGAAACTTGCACTCGCTGAGATCCAAATCCAAGTGCTTACACGTTTCTGGTCTCCAGCATGGCTTCGGCGACGCTCGGGCCATTTTTGCGCGAGGCAGGCAAGGCAACGTGGGTGGTGCCGCGGTGGTCCCTCTGCTGTGCGTGCCCGCAGCCCGCTCCGTCTTCGTCGCCAAGAAATCGACGGAAATGGAAATCCTCTTGCCAGGTCGTCGTCCTCCATTGCCATTGCTACTCGAGAACACAGCAGTATTGTGACTTGTGGGTGAATTCTTGGGCTAATGTGCACATGGCGATGGTAGCGAGCGATGAAGTACGTCGGAATCACAGAACACCGGTGGGCGGTGGCTGGTTGCGTGCCATAATTACCAAACTGGTTTTTGTTGAGGTTACCTTAAATTTATTTCTTCGAATCGAAGGGAAAACAAAAGGTCTTCGAAATATGTCACCACGGAATAGTAGGTTTTCTTCAGGTTACCATAAGTTTATATTTTCTTTGTAGAAGAAAAAAAAGGTCCTCGAGATATATCACCACGAAAGAATAATAGTAAGAAAAAATATATTATTACCTAAATTTGTTTTTACAATTTTTAATGAAAGAAGGGGGAGAAAAGAAGTCATTTTAGCTTTTCTAGATATAATAGATTTTATTTACTGTGCATGCATCTAAAAAAGTTACAATAACTTATGATTTGAAAGGGACGGAGTACCGTTGTCAAAATTTTAGTCAATCTCACAAAAATTTAGACTACATAAGTGAGCTAATGTGGACCAAAGTCTTAGTTCTTAACTTTAGCCAATTAAAGCCTTAGACCACAGAATCCAAATAGACTCTAGGTTTGAAACAGCAACATGCCTTTCTTTCTTTCTTTTTTAAGATGAAAATGAAAATGGTGATTAGTCACTTTTCATGTACGGGCTGGAGGCTGAAAATCTCGAGAAGTACAGATCGTTGGTTCGTAACTCTATCTATTCTTCAACTAAAGGATTTTTTATTGAGATCAGGTCTCAACAATTGCATTGAACATTAGACCCACATGGCGGCAGTGAGCCGTGATTTTCATCCATCCATCCATGAATTGAAACTAGAAACCGCTCAACCAAAACCAAAACCATCCATGTACTAGAAGGCAAGTGGCGGAGCCGGCGAGGACTCTGCCAGCACCGCCACCAGACACGGTGACTGTCAGGGCCTCACAAGCAGTGGCGGAGCTCGCATGAACGTGTAGGGTGGGCCAATTCAATGATACGTTGCTACAGTATTACCAATAGTAGTATAGACAGTTGGAATTATGTGGAAAATCTGTGTTTTTTCAAGTTTTATCTATATAGACTGCAATGAACAATTAGAATTCTGTCAAAGAAGAATAAACAATGTGCGGATTTACATACTTGTAAGCTATGATCTACTCATCAGCAACAACAATCATGATACGAGAGAGACAAGAATTAATTGCATGCATGCAGCGACATACAAACCTCCATTGATACAACCGGAGCAAGGGGGGGCCAGGACCCAGTTTGGCCCCCACATAGCTCCGTCCGTGCTCACAAGGGCGGGCTTCGCTGGCGTGCCACGCGTCAATATATACACGCATACGCCCGCGGCCCGCGGCGGACCAGAACCAACACCCCAATCGCGTCGGCTCCAGCTCCAGCTCTACCCCCTGTTTCTGCTCTGCTCTTCTCCGCTCCTGTTCGCCGCAAGGATCCATCGATCGGTCGATCGGGCAGGGTAATCGATCTATCCTCGATCGCACTAGTGAATCTCGGATGGGTGCATTGGCGATTTGCTCCTTTGCTGCGCGTTCTTGGGGGCACAGTTTATAGGGTTCTTAATCGGTGGAGGTTTCTTGGGGATGGATATCGCTCATAGCTCCGGGGGTTTCTTTCCATGTTCTTTCGCGCTCTGCTAGCTTAGAGTGGTAGACGCGGAATGAAACTTTCCTTCCCCTCGATTGTGTAATGGCGTGCTCCTTGCTCAAATCTTGCTTTTTCCCAGCTCCAGCTGCTACTCTACTCTGCTCGTCTTCTTTTCTTTCCCCAACGCGGCTGTTTTGCACTTTTGCGACCGTCAGAGCGGGTTGATCAGTCAACTGTAGCCATCAAAGAAAACTTCGGCAAGTTCAGTGAGGTCCTGGAGCCTGGTTGCATAGGGCAGCAGATTGCTGGTTACCTCTCCTTGCGTGTGCGCCAGCTGGATGTCCGCTGTGAAACAAAGACAAAGGTTTTCTCAATATTACATTCTGTTTCATGTCTGATTTGTGCTTTGCTGATGATGCTATTGCCATGATCGAAGAATATTTCTGCCAAACTATAGCATAAAGAAAGAACCTTTCTGAACTCTGTTGCCTGGATTTTATTTGTTCAGGACAATGTCACTGTCGTTGCATCTGTCCAATATCGCGCTCTTGCTGATAAGGCATCTGACGCCTTCTACAAGCTGAGCAACACTAGGGAACAAATTCAGTCGTATGTATTTGACGGTAAGTGTTCTCTCTGTTTGAAATCGTACTTTATGTGTTTATTATGTCACATGTACGCATCCTATCTTGTACTCGTGTCTCCGTTGTTCTGTATTTGGTCTCTCCTCAAGTCCTTGCATACCGTATGCCAATTGACTGTTTTTGCTAATCCAGAGACATAAATTGTACCGTAGGGGAGAAAATTATGTTTCTATACTGCACAGATTGAAAAAAACAGTTCTCATGGCTATTCATTGCTTATTCCAGTCATCAGAGCTACTGTTCCAAAGCTGGACTTGGACGATGCATTTGAGCAGAAGAATGACATCGCGAAAGCAGTTGAAGAGGAGCTTGAAAAGGTTTCTGTCAAGCATTTGCTTTTTGTTTAATTGTTCTGTTGAATTTGCTTTAGAGCATGCATTTTGGTTTGTTAATTGTTGTGTTGACTTTGCTTTAGAGCATGTAGAATCTTTTGACCGACCTGGGTCATTGGTGTAGGCAATGTCTATGTATGGCTATGAGATAGTGCAAACGCTGATTGCTGATATTGAGCCTGATGACCGTGTCAAGAGAGCAATGAACGAGATCAATGCAGGCAAGTACTTTATACCTTTCATAGTATTGCATCAGATAAAATTGGCAATACATCATTTGCTGAGACACAAGCATCTACTAGTTACATTGACTAATTAATCTTACATGCTACCCTTTCGGTTGTATGGCACAGCTGCTAGAATGAGGGTGGCAGCCAATGAGAAAGCTGAGGCTGAGAAGATACTCCAAATCAAGAAAGCCGAAGGAGAGGCAGAATCCAAGTACCTGGCTGGTGTGGGTATCGCAAGGCAGTGCCAAGCCATTGTGGACGTGCTGAGGGACAGTGTGCTCGCCTTCTCAGAGAACGTTCCAGGCACCACTGCCAAGGACATCATGGACATGGTCCTGGTCACCCAGTACTTCGACACCATGAAGGAGATTGGGGCCTCCTCCAAGTCCTCTTCAGTGTTCATCCCCCATGGTCCTGGAGCTGTCAAGGATGTCGCGGCGCAGATAAGAGATGGCCTCCTGCAGGCTAAACTGCAGTGAGAGGACCCTGAGAAAAAGGATTGGTTCTGATTCACAAAGCAGTACCGAGGGGTGAGGGCATCGATTCTATGGTGCTATAAAACTGCTAATTATAATATAGCTAGACTTGCATGGTTTGCAAAAGCTTAGTCGTGACTTGTGAGTGAGCCTGGGTATCCAAACCCATCTGCTATTTGGTGATCCTCTATGCTATATGTTCTGTTAGAATGTAATTATAACAGCCCATATTGGGCGTATGGCCCATTGGCCTGTGTACATTAACCCTAGCCTATTAGGCTATATAATGAAGGCCACCCCCCTGATTAGGGTGTGCGGTGTTATTCTTTATGTTCTGCGTGTATAATCCTTTGGGTCAGACTCAGTTTATATAGTATTGAAAGTGCAACTTTTGAGAATTTGCTATGTGTTTTGCCGTAGTGCAAAATTTTCCGAATCACAACCGTGTGTGTTGTTGGGTGAATGTGTTTTGGCTAGCTCCATTTTGAAGGACTGCAATAGGGGTATTCGCACATTTTGATGCTCAGTTAGGCTATTCTAATTTTTCAGGTTAACGCAGTGTAGTTGGATCTGTTGTCTAGCACTCTTAGACGAAGAAAAATCGTATTACAGCAAAGCACTCTGCACTGATATTGTCCAAGCTTTTAGTAAGTCAATTCTAATACAAGGTTTCTTATAAAGTCAGGTATACAACCCATCACCCAACAAACATGTACATTTGCACTTGCACACCCACAAGTATGCACCATGTAGCTACAAAATGCAATTACATAACGATGAGCTCGATACAAGCAGCTCATGAGCGCACCAACAACCTGCCTGATCAAAATGACAGGTGCGGGGATGCAGAGAGCAGCATTGTGCCAAGCCAAGGTCAAGGGCACAGGCTACGCAGGCTTCTGATCGCGCAAGTAGCGCATAGCGGCTGTGGCTCACGCGTCACCGACAATCCGAACTGGTTCCAAGCATCCAGGTACTCCATCCTCCACTCCTCTCTTAGCTCCGCAGAATCGCGGTACCATTGCCTGGTGATCGACAAAATGATGAGCAGGTTTGAGAACACAAGTGTGGGCTACTGAACATTTATTTCCCTAGTTAATTTGCAGGAAAAGGGGATAGAACAGGTCAGGGTTTGGTGCAGTATTTGTAGAGTGAGACTGTTTCTGCCAACAACAAAAGGTTTTGCCAATACTAGACGAACTCACACTGCAGCCAGTAAATTGTGAAAAAACAGAACAAGAAACGTTCCCAACTCACAGCTGGTCTCTAGAAGAATATGCATAATTGGAGTGTGAAGGCATGTCCAATTCAGAAGAGAGGAGTGTGGCATAACGTAACACGAGCTTTTTCATCTTATAAGCATGCACAAGGAAGAAAGATATATAATCTACTATGATATGATCCAGCTCTGGTTATTGGTTGCTGGCAGTTGCCACAGAATCAAGATACCAACTCCAACAGCATCGAAAAGGCTGTAACCATAGACGTCCACCGAACAGGAAGATTACTACGGGGTGTTTGGTTTAACCTCGCTAGACTTTAGTAGCTAAACCATAGACTAAACTTTAGTTATTAGGTGTTTGGTTTGGGTGACTAAAAGAAGTCTTTTAGTCTCTTTTAGTCCAGGTGTTTGGCTCTAAAGTGACTAAATAGGATAAAAGGTAAGGTTTAGCTCTATTTAGTCCCATTTAGCAACGTCCTGGTGACTTGGCTAAAGCCTCTTTTAGTCTTATTTAATCATAGTGTTTGGTAAAAAATGACTAAATGGGACTAGATTTAGCAAAGTAAACTTTAGCGAGGGCAACCAAACACCCCCTGAATGGATTTGGTCAGTTGATCAATCAGGTTACTGCAGGATGAACCGTTCCAGCAGCACCGAGACACCCCAAGAGGCCAAGACAAAAGGGCACGGGGGCATTCCGTCGACCACCGCGCGCGCGCGGGGAGAGCGAGAGGCGAGGCAGGGGCCAACTCACTTGCAGACGAGGGAGCAGCTGAGGAGGTCGACGCAGTCGAGCTGTGAGAACACCCGCGCCATCACGTGCGCCGGGGCCTGCAGCGCCGGCGCCGACCCCCTGCTCCTCCCCTTGCCGTGGCGGCGCCATGGCCGATCCGCCCGCTCGCCCGCCGCGGCTCTTTGTATTGGAGTGGACAAGTGGGCTGCGGAAGCCTCGATCAATTCGCGACCTCTCTTATTCTTGTGTCACCGAGAAGGATTGGAGGCGGCGATTTTTATTGGGACTGGTTACGCCACGGATCCAAACTCGATTCGTCGACGAGGGAAGGAAAAGAACGAATGCCATCTGATTCGACGCGACGACATGTTGATTGTTTGTCCGGACAGAATACATGACATGAGGTGATCCATGGATAAAACCGCTGAAACCGTGCATGCTTACGCGATTCATGATAACATAATTTTCCTTTCCTCTTCATTTTATTCTTTATTTATTAATGCTAGGAAGAGGCCGGTGACATTCAAAAAAAATGCTAGTAAGAGGGATAACATAATTTTCTTAGGAGAAAGACCTGTTTTTTTTTTTGCATGACATATGTCCAATATATTAGGCTGCTGGTTAATCTTGGGCCAAAATTGAGGGCCACAGTAAAGAATAAAAAAAAGACACGAAAAAAATTAATTTCTCCTCCCTCAACTTTTACAAAAGTCTCTTTTGCATGGAGAGCCTAGGCATCATCGTGCTGGGCTCCAAGCCCATGGCCAATCAACAAGGATCTGTCTATCTGTCACTAGAGTGATGAATCACTCGATTTTTTTCTTCACTGTTCATCTTCCTCCTCTTGACGTGCCGCCGCCGCCCGCCGCGGCGCAGTAGGGTCTCGCCGGACCTCTGCGGCCGTGGAGCTCTAGCAAGATCCTTACCACGCCCGTGGGGGTCTCCTTCTTCCCCTAGCCCCCTTCCGTCGCCGCCATGGCCATAGGCACCCTCGTCCCGCCCTGGTCCGGCGGCCTCCAACATCGCCGGAACCCTAACACCGCCCTCCTGTTGTCCCTACCTGGTTCGGCAGCCTCCAACATCGCCGAAACCCTAACACCGCCCTCCTGCCGTCCCTACCATCTAGGCGGCCTGTCTTTCCCGAGCCTCTTCTAAGGCCGCCGGACTTGGAGAAGAAGGAGATGAGAGATTGGATTTGGAGAAGAGAAAATTCAAGTGTTGGATTGCTCCAAATCACTCGAGTGATTTATAGCTTTATCAAATCAGCAAATAAGGTTGACTCTTGAAAAAAAAAAAACAGATGAGGTTGTGCGTTTGGCGTGTTTCCAAAAGTTGTGGTGAGTGCTGGCTGTCAGGTATTACAGTTGGGGGAAATAAAAAGTTGACTATCATCCCGCTATGGTTCAGATAAAATTGACCTTTCTAAGATGAAAATTCCTCTCTAAAACAAACTAAGATAAAAGTAGGCAGCAGAAAAGCATAAGAATCTCACCTAAGTACATGCATGAATTCTAGTTTTAAAGTTCTTCATGAAAGTTGTTTACTTTTACCCCTCACATTTCTTTACATTTTCTGTTGTTACATTTGTTCTACATGGCCTATATATGGGCCTGTTCGGCAGGACTGAAAAATATTGTTCCGGCTGATTGTTGTGAGAGAAAAATACTGTTCTGGCAGGACGTGAACAGTGATTTTGTGAGTGGCGGAACAAGCCAGCCGGCTGGCTTTAAGCCGGCCGAACACGCCCTATACTGATAGCTCTCCAAAACATTATAGAGCGGGTGTTTGCTATAGAAGGGCCAAACCAATAATTTTTCTTTAACAAGCACAATCCAATGATTAAGAAAACACAATCGAGATGTCCTACTACAAAAAATAAGCTATATAATTAAAACCAATCATACGTCACTCCGAGAGTTCCATGAAGCACGTGACTGGAAAAAAGAATAAAATCCTTTTGATTCTGGTCAACATTTCAAAACGCTAAAGACACAGCAAAAGCAACACATAAGACACCCAAGCAGCCATTTTATATATTGAATCTTAAAAGAGAAATACAGCCAATTATATGTAGTATCTGTCAATTGTATTGTATTATATAGTAAGCAAGTTAATGCTATGTCTAAAATCTCTGTCAACACAATCTCACAGAGGTGAGAAGGTAGTTTTTTTTTTTTGCTTTTTAATGTTTGGCATAGATATAGACTTTTTGTATGCGTATTGCCTGTGTCTTGGTATATCTAATTGTTACTCCTCTTACATGATTTTTTTTACGCACGCATGTCCTCGTACTTGCATAAAATAGGGTACAATTTGGTCAACTTGATGAACAGAAGAAATAGTTGTTAGGGATGAAAATGGATCAAATCAAAGGTGGATAATGTCACTCCGTTTTTTTTGTCAGATACTATATATGTGCATATGTAGAAAATTACATACTTGTCAAGAAATAATTTAGTAAAAAGACAATAGCAACTAATACACAAATAATCTTGCATAACAATTCATTTTGTGGCTATCACACCGACAATTAACATTTACTAGGGTACACTCACAAATGATAAGTTATTAGCAACAAATTCTCCGTTCGAAATTTAGCACATAAAACAACCACATTGCAACATAAGATTTCTCAACTAACGAGCTGTTCTTTATCATGAGCTCTTTTGTTTTTTAATCTAGGGAGTGAAACTAGCGCTATCCTATTTAAAACACTCGATAATCCGTATTCATATCCATTGGATTTTGCCGATTTTATATCCTACCTTGCATTCGCATACGATCAAATTTAGATTATCTATTCACATAAATATTTAAATCTCTTTTTTATATCCACCGTTATAAGATTCGGATTTAGATCGGATGCTAGTCGCGCTCCCAACTTTTGTTGAGCGTGTCATTACCCTGGTCCCTGGGGGTGGAACCCAGAGATGAACGAAGCCAAATAAACTAGGGTTTAATCGGGGCCACACATCAGCCTCCACGCCGTGGTCTTCTCCGCCATTATTCTCCCCCCACCTCCACCTCTCCACCCATCCGCCGCCTCCCAATCATCCTTCCCCGACCTCCCTCCCACCCCGCAGCATCTCCACGCCGCCACACCTCGTCGCGTCCCGTCGTCACCGGCGAGAAGATGGTCGGGCCGGGCCTCTACACCGAGATCGGCAAGAAGACCAAGGGTGGGTGCCCGTCCGTCCATCTCGCCCCTCCTTCCCCACGGATTCCTTTCAAGCTCTTGGGGTCGGGGGTGGAGTTCGCTGGTTTATTCTCTTCTGTTGGTTTGCTTATTGTTTTCGGATCGCTTTTTCCGCAGATCTGCTCTACAAGGACTACCAGACTGACCACAAGTTCACCCTCACTACCTACACCTCCAATGGCGTCGTAAGTGCTCCGCTCCGTTCAAAACACCCCCTCTTCTTCAGCTTCGGTCCTTTGCGCTAGGGCGTTGCTTTGCAGTGCTTTCGTCGGACTGGAACGAATCTGGTTGATATAGCCGTGGGATGGGTTCATGATCTTCTATTGGATTCGTCTGTGGGGTTCGGATCCTGTTGCTCGATCTTAGCGAGTGAGTGGCTGTTTGGTAGCGAAAGCCAGCACAAGAGATTATTGATTAGGTTGGGTTCCTGCATAGCCTTGAGTTGTGCTCTATGCCTATCTGCTTGTTCGTTTTTTGCTGTAGGGTATAGGATTTGGCAATGTGTGATTTACATGTGATGCTCTTTTTAATGCTTGTTTTGAATAAGTGGGTCGCTAGAGAAACCCCCTTAGCCGGGGGAGAAAAGGGTTCGAATAAAAAAGGACGGTGGAACCCCACGCTGTTGTGGTTCTAATAAAAACTGGGAGGTGATGTGAAATAGCAGCCAGCTTTAGTTATGTAACTGGTGTCGGGCTCAATTTTCAGGGGATGTAACACATGTTGGCACTATCTGGATAGGTAGTCAGTTATTGAATAGAATAATTGTAAGTAGCTGAGCGATGTCAACATGGCTCGGTGGATTTCCTTCCATGGTTGGGATGTGAGTAAATTGTAGGTTTTGATGGGTTTTAGACTTTTAGGAAAAATGTATCTGTACTGAACTTAAACAATTGAGGATAATAAAACTATAATTGAAGTATCAAACACCTGAAAAAACGATTGTATTGAACCCCAGGTATGTTGTTACCATAATTATGTTTCTCAACTCATGATGACTTTTGCAACTTGTATTTTCTGTTGATGTATTGGAGTCTGGAATTACATATGTTGTGGTCTAAATGGTAAAGGCTTGGGTGATTTAACAACTAATTGTTTGGTTTGCGTGTATATATTTGATTGTTCTCTTAATGCTGCCTACATGCTTGTACTGAAAATGGTGACTATGTTAGAATTATTTGCATGCATGGCTATCATATTCTTATAATTTTAATATCCTCTGTTGCTTTTTTCATGCAGGCTGTCACTGCTTCTAGCACAAAGAAAGCTGACCTGATCTTTGGTGAGATCCAATCACAGATAAAGAACAAGAACATTACGGTAGATGTGAAAGCAAACTCAGAGTCAAATGTAAATCTCTCTCTCTGTATATATATATACTTAACCCCTGGAAATTGCTTGCTTTGTTCAAAATGGACCTGCAACATGTTCATTTCTTGTGATATCACCTAGACTAATAGTAGTAGTTTGACAAACTATTATCAAGCATGCTATTTGTGTTGGTCAACAATTTGCTCTTTGACTAATTAGTTGATCTGTCATATTTCTCACTGTTCGAGTTCTGTTGACTGCTTGCTTTGACGTGCTGTTCAGATCATTACTACAGTTACTGTTGATGAGATTGCAACGCCAGGACTGAAAACCATCCTTAGCTTTGCTGTTCCTGATCAGAGGTCTGGAAAGGTAATAATCTAATTCAGTTTATTATTTCTTAAGTGGAAGGTTATTCTTCAATGTATTCATGTATTTATTTCTGGTTGCAGGTTGAGCTTCAGTATTTGCATGATTATGCTGGAGTTAATGCAAGCATTGGTCTGACAGCCAATCCTGTAGTCAACCTCTCTGCTGCCTTTGGCACTAAGGCTCTTGCAGTTGGTGCAGATGTCTCACTTGATACTGCCACTGGGAACTTAACCAAATACAACGCTGGACTGAGGTTCACTCATGAAGACCTCATCGCATCCCTGACCCTGTGAGTTTTCAAAGTGTAGTAATTGTATATATTTAGGCACTGTATGCCACTGTTATTTGACAACACTTAAGTTTTTTTGATATTTGTAATTTCTTTTTTTATGGTTAAGTGCAAATCCCTGCTTAATGCGTCTCAACTTCAAGCCGTTGTGTAGCTGGTTTAGTGCATAAAAAATAGTCAAAATATTAATATATTGTCACCATGATTTCACCTTTTGAGTCATTTCTCAAATGGAGTTTTTGAAAGAAGCAACTTTATAATTTTGCTTCACTTATATTTGTTTGCAACAAACACGAGTTTCTAACTCACTCAGATTATTGCATGTACAGAAATTGGTGAAAGTTACTGACTTTGCTAAGTGTTTTTTTTTTGTTTCATTGAAAAAAGGGATCTTTTGCAGTAAGCTGGTGGCAATATGGCTAATATTGAGCCGTGCCTCCAGGAAGGGTTTGATGCTCAGTATTTTGGTTTTCTAATTGAGTGAAAAGTCCTATGTATAATTTTGGGTTTGATGCTCAGTATTTTGGTTTTCTAATTGAATGAAAAGTCCTATGTATAATTTTCTTATATTAAATGAAACTGATGTCATAGCTCCTCAACAGATATGATCCCGTTTCTTTTAGGATGTTTACTGTCTTATTATTGCAGTGCCTTTCCAAATTTCATGTTACTGATCCAACCTTCTCTTGCAGGAACAACAGGGGAGACAGCCTTACTGGAGCTTACTACCACAAGGTGAGCGAATTGAGCAACACAGCTGTTGGGGCAGAGCTTACCCACAGCTTCTCGACCAATGAAAACACCCTCAGCTTTGGTGGGCAGCACGCTCTGGACCCACTAACCATCTTGAAGGCCCGCATCAACAACTCTGGCAAGGCCAGCGCCCTCATCCAGCATGAGTGGAGCCCAAAGTCACTGGTCACCATCTCGGCCGAGGTCGACACAAAGACCATCGAGAAGAGCTCGAAGGTCGGGATTGCCGTGGCCCTCAAGCCCTGATTGGTTATCGAGACCATATTTTTTTTTTCCTTCTAAGCTCCTAGCATGACTGTTTGGATCAGATCAGGTCAGCTGGGGAAAACAAAACTGTTGGGGTTCCCGGCATCTTTTGGTCGTTGCAGTCTGTCGATTTCATGAACTGTGAAATGTTTCATTGAGGAAAATTTTCAGTCGTCTGTGTAGCGCTCTGTTAAATGAGCAACCTTCACAATAATTCAAGCTCGGTAGAATTCTGAACTTGTTTACAATGGTTGATGGTGACTTGTGTCAATTGAGGTAGGGGTGGTTCTGTTTTCTGCAACCGTTTTTCTGTCTTGTGTCGGGGACTTTACCCAATCGATTGATGTGTTTTTTTGTTGGTGCTGTACTTAATTCATGTCTTATAGTCCGATCAGTTTATGCTGAATGCAGTTGATCGTCAACGTCATGCTTGGTTAGTTTGTAAATTGGTACTACCAGTTAGTCGGCCATGGTCTGTACCGTGTGAGAGACGTCTTTCATCTGACAGGAGCATGAGAAATCATAATATAGTCATCTTTCACCTGATAGGAGCATGATAATTCACTTCATATTATACAGGTTTGTCGTTCGATGACATGCGTTGCTTTGTCGTTTGTCAAGAAAAGGTCATCATGATGCATTGGATAACGTATTTAAACTATGCTTTTAGAGCTTTATTTCAATAATTGAACGCTCCTTTATCTACAATTCTTCTCCGGGACGACCAGGTTGCTAATTTTCATCCGTAGACCTGCTTATATATATACAAATAAAAAGTATCATTGTTCAATGATTGATGACAAATGCAATAGCAAATTTACTTTCATTAATTAGTTGGATTGGATACTCATAAAGATGTTGGTACTCAAAGTCCGGATGGAAAAAAAAATCGAAGTCCAGACATGTTTTAAAGTTTATTAAAAACATATGGTCTAATTGGTTACTCGCATAAGACTTGCATTGCATAAACAACCTGTTCGCTTGGTCGTAAACGACCGTGGATTATAAGTCAGAATAGTATTTTTTTCTCACACCAAATCAGTCAGTAGTAATAATCCACGATCGTTTCAGCCGAAATGAACAGGCTGAAAGACTTTTGCAGGATAGGTTATGCCTACATGAGTGAATGTGGTTAGGCGGATCAAATCTGAGCGTACTCAGTTGTACAGACACCGAGCTGCTTTGAACCGAGTGCTAACCTTTATAAGGGCAGTCCCAATGCTACTGCATATAGTTTTTATATCTATTAATTTCTATTGACACTACATATAGAAACCATGGTCCCGATAGTTTCTACTGAACAATTTTTTATCCAATCACATATATTCTTTCTCCATTCTGTACCAATCACATCCCTTCATATCTTGGTTCTCGCGTAGATATGGTTTCTAACTTAGATTTGATTTCTATGATTTTTGCTCTTTCTTCAATAACTACTTTGCCACATCAACAAAATATTTAGGTGATAGTACAATTAATCTCCCTAGAAACCATAATGGTTTTATATTGGGAGTGCCCTAACGAGATATGTAGAAAATCAAACTACTAAGATTTGTATTACAGCATCCTGATAAGGAGATATACAAGCAACTAAGACGCATAGGTCCCGTTCGCTGGTCTGAAACTTAGCTAAAATTGACTGGTTGTTGTGAGAGAAAAAAATTATAACAGCTGATTGATGAACAATATTTTATAAGAAAGAGCAGCCGGCTGGTATGCAACAATCAGACCAGCGAACTCGCCCATAATGGATGGCCCTAGGAATTCTGATTTTCTGAAGCCCTGCCCTTGGTGACATGTCGCATGTGTGCCCACGCGATGAGCGCCGAATAACGGTTGTGCCACTTATCCCCATGCGAATCTTCTCTTATCTCCTCTCGCGACTCACGAAGGGCAAGGCGCGCGCGCGTGCCGCTGTGCTGCACCGCCAGTGACCCAATGTGCCGTGCTGTCCGGCCCCCGTCCTCATCCCACAGCTCTCTCACTCACAGTGCTGCTGCTGTCCGGCCTCCGTCACCTCACGCTTGACGCGCGCGCGCGCAGCGCACCATGCCGCCACCGTCTTCCTCGTGCTACTCCCCGGGCCGGCTACTCGCCGCGCGCCCGGCGTCCGCGACCACGGCATGCTCCTCGTTTCCGTTACTTCCTTTTGGCCTCTTCTTGCCTTGGTCATCTATGCAGGCGGACCGTGTGCTCATATGTTTTGCACGTGCACACATCACAGGTGGGGAGATGGGCGCGCCTGTCGTGCTCGCTGTCCATGAACGGGTGCGCGCCGGGCGCCGGGGACCGCGGCGCGGTGTGCGTGCGCGAGGCGCGGGCGCTGCCGGCCGCGCCGGCGCCGCACGACGCCGTGGGCCAGCTCAGGGCCGCCGTGGACGCGCTCATCGGGTCCGAGGCGCCGCCGCCGGCCGCGCCCTCCGGCATCATCCGCATCGAGGTGCCCATCAGGCAGCGGGTGGACGCCATCGAGTGGCTGCACGCGCAGACCGCGCTGCCCCGCTGCTTCTTCTCGGCCCGGGCGCCGTTGCCCGACGCGCCTGCGCTCGCCGGCACCAGCAGCTGCGGCAACGGCAACGGCAATGGCCATCGGCAGCAGCTGGTGAGCGTCGCGGGCGTGGGCTCGGCGGTCTTCTTCCGAGGGACGGAGCCCTTTTCTCTCGCTGATTGGCGCGCAATCAAGAGGTAAATCGGCTCCTTTTGTACTGTGGCATTGACTGACGTACGTTTCCGTTTCCAGATGATGTTACTTCTTGTCTGGCTTTTTTAAACCACAACAAAATGGACATCATCATATTTTCTGAATTTTCCATGTTTGGTATTGAAAGAGTAGGATTAGGGAATACTCAATGTACCTGTGAATGATCAGCATTTACATATATATAGGTATTGTGGGAGGCCAGGCAGGCCCACACGTCATATTACATTCCAACACTCCCCCGCAGTCTGAACTGGGAGCACCGCGAACATTGAGACTGGACCTAAACTCCGTGAACACGGACATCGGCAAACCTTTGGTGAAGATGTCGGCATACTGGGACGAAGTGGGAACGTGCAGGACGCGGACTTCACCGAGGGCGACTCGTTCTCTAACGAAGTGCATGTCGATCTCAATATGCTTGGTTCGCTGATGCTGAACCGGGTTGGTGGAGAGGTAAACGGCGCTGACATTATCGAAGTAGACCATTGTAGCACGACGGAGTGGGCGACAAAGCTCTATCGAAGTTAGGCGCAACCAAGAAGCCAGGCGACTCCATTCGCGATTTCGATATTCCATCTGCCTTTGGACCGAGACAACAGGGTGGCGCTTAGACGACCGGAGATGAGATTGTCCCCGAGAAACACCGCATAACCCGAGGTGGATTTATGTGCGTCGGACGAATCACCTAATCTGCATCGGTGTAGAGCGATGAGATCACCGGAGAGGTCCGGTGGAGGTGTAGACCGAGATCCAATGTACCTTGAAGGTCTTGGGAGAATGCGCTTGCAGCGCTCAAATGAGGTTCCCGGGGTCATGCATGTACTGAGCGGACCCTCTTGACAAAGATACACAATGTCTGGTCTGGTGAATGTGAGGTCTTGAAGAGCCCGGCAAGATCAAGGATCTTGACTTGGATCGGTAGATTGAAACACCATCAGCAGAAAGCTTGGAGTGAGTGTCCACGAGTCTTTGGTTGGCTTGCGATGACACTCATCTGCGTAGCGCGTCCGAATGTCCAACATGTCTCTGTGTCTCGAGAGAGAAATAAATTGTCACCTCTCTTTGAACACTAACACCCGAAAATGGTGAAGAGGCCCATGTACATCATGGAGAATTCTGGCGAAATCTTTGTGATAATCGATGGAGGAGACTCGGAGGCGAGCAGTGAGAACAATGTCATCAACATAGAGTAAAAGAAAAGCCATGTCAGCACCTTTGCAGTAGATGAACAGCGACATGTCGGACTTGGCCTCAACAAACCCGAGTGAGGTAATGTGAGAGGCGAAGCGACTGTGCCAGGCGCGAGGAGCTTGCTTCAACCCATAGAGTGACTTGTTCAGGCAACAAACATAATTGAGCTTGGAGGAGTCGACAAACCCCGGTCGGTATTTGTCGCGATGATATCTCGATCAAAGTGCCATGAAGAAATGCATTCTTCACATCAAGTTGGTGAATCGGCCAGGAGCGAGACAGTGCCAAAGTGAGTACCATCCGGATGGTTGCTAGCTTGACAACTGGACTGAAGGTCTCATCATAATCAATGCCCGGACGCTGTGTGAAACCGCGAAGCACCCACCGGGCTTTGTAGCGGTCAAGAGAGCCATCGAACTTGAACTTGTGATGAAAAACCCACTTGCCAGTGATGAGGTTGACGCCAGGAGGGCGAGGCACCAAGGTCTAGGTGTCGTTTGCCTGCAAGGCGTCGAACTCAGCCTGCATAGCAAGACGCTAGGCCGGATCAGAAAGAGCGGCATGGACGGACGAAGGTACTGGAGTGGTAGCCGCAGCCGTCGTGTGGAGATTAAGGCAATCCACGGGTTGCCGAAAACCATCCTTGCCACGTGTGCGCATGCTGTGCGCATTAGTGACATGAACGATCGCCTCCGGAGTCATCGTGGTTGTGCGGCCGGTGGTCCAGCCAGCGCCGCTGGCAACAACCTGGGACGCTGAGTCCGCAGGGGCAGCAGCACCAGCCGGACCGGTGGAAGTAGCGCCATCTGAGGGGGCCACGGTAGTACCTGACATCATGTCAGGCACCGCACCGCCGGCGGGAGAGGCGCCAGGGGTCCCAGGTGCGGCATCCATGCCGCCAGGGAGACGAGTACCTGCAGGCACAGCTCTTAGCCACATAGGCGAAGAGGAGTCATCAACATCATCCAAAAACGCGAGTGTGTTTGGGTCCTAGGGGGTGGTGGACATCTCGGAGAATGGAAACAAAGTCTTGTCGAATATAACGTGACGGGAGACAATGATCCGATTGGAATGAAGATCGAGACATCGATATCCTTTGTGATCGGATGAGTACCCGAGGAAAACACAGAAGGAGGAGCGAGGTGATAATTTATGGGGAGCTGTGGACGAGAGGTTGGGATAGCAGGCACAGCCGAAAATTCAAAGGTGAGTGTAGGAAGGATGTGTGCTGTAAAGAGCGAAAAAAGGGGTGCGGCCATCTAGGGTTTTGGTGGGGTGACGATTGAGAAGATAGGTGGCAGTGTGGAGTGAGTCAGCCCAATAAACCGGAGGAAGGCTGGCCTGAAACAGAAGGGACCGCACGATGTTGTTCACGGTGCGAAGGGTGCGCTCGGCACGTTCGTTCTGCTGAGAGGTGTATGGGCACGACATTCAGAAGATGACTCCATGAGTGAGGAAAAACGTGCGGACCGAGGAGTGGTCAAACTCGCGGCCGTTGTCGCACTGAACTACCTTGATGGTGGAGTCAAACTGCGTGCGCACATATGAGAAAAAGTTAGAAAGGACACTGAAAGTATCGGACTTGAGACGTAATGGGAATGTCCAGGTGTAATGGGCGTAGTCATCAAGAATGACTAAATAATATTTATAGCCCGACACACTAACAACTGGAGAAGTCCAAAGATCACAATGTATTAAATCGAAAGGATGTGCAGCGCGAGAGTGTGACACACTAAAAGGTAGGCGCACATGGCGACCTAGCTGACAGGCATGACAAACATGATCAATATGGCGCTTATTACATGAAATAGCATTGGAACTAATAATCTTGAAAAGAGCCGCATGTCCGAGATGACCAAGGCGACGATGCCAGAGTGAGGTGGATGACGCTGTGGCAGCGAGGGCAATGGGAGTGCTGGATAGTGCTGGGAAGAACGGGTAGAGGTCACCCGTGCTATTGCACCTGGCGATCACGCTCCGTGTCTGAAGGTCCTTCACAGAGAGGCCAAACGGGTCAAACTCAATGGAACAATTATTATCAGTGGTGAAACGACGTACGGAAATCAAATTCTTAATAATGTTTGGTGACACTAGAACATTAGAAAGAACAAGAGGACGTCGTGTGGTGGAGAATGAGTGTGACCCAATAGATGTAACGGGAAGCGAAGCTCTGTTACCAACAATGATAGATAAAGGACTAGATGACGAAGGATGGTGAAAGGTAGAAAGAATACCAGCGTTGTTGACCATATGGGCACCGGCGCCGGAGTCAACGTACCACTCGGCCGATGAAGGGGGCGTCAGCGTCATGGTGTTGAAGTTGTTGACGAGGGCGGACGGATCCTAGGACGCGCCCTGCATGGGCGTCCACTGCTGCTGCTGCTGTGGCGGCGATGGTCCTCCGTAGCTGTGACAGAACAGCCCAATTTATACAAGATCAAGTACGGCTGTCCCCGCTAACACGTTGACACACACATACTTTCACTTATATAAACCCGGTAGTCCGTCGAGTGTCCCGAAAGACCTCGGTACATCAACATCACAACCAAGATCGCGTGATTAAGCAAATACACATCACATACATAGGGTTGCAGCGGAAATAATATTACATATGGGTTCACAAATAAAAGTACAAGTTTGGGTTTCAAAACCGCTTAGTGAAAACAACATAGCTTTCAAATGATTACATTAATATAAGTTCCAAATATATTGCTAGCATAAGTGACATCATCCAACAAAAGCATATAGATGAGAAGTAACTATAGAATCACCGAGCCCATCAGCGGTTAGCCACCATCTTCAATAGGCCGAGAACTCCACCTGCAACATGGTGGGATAAACCCTGAGTACTCGAATGTACTCAGCCAGACTTACCCGTCATAAACCAAAAATAAATGACACCAAGGAGTATGCAAGCTTTATCAGTGGATCTAGCTGGACAACCTTTTTGCATAAAAGCTTGAGTAACCATTAGCATTATTCACCTGTACTAGCATTGACTTTTAGCCATTACCTACCATCTATATTAGCACCTGTACTAATCAACCATGTGATTTAGTTGCAAACAATAATAACCATATCAGGTATTTCATGGCTCATCACCATTCTCATCATCATTTAACCATATCTTTATATTTAGTGAATCTACGTTGCCGCTGCTCAAGTTAAGTTCTCACTATCCGGGAGAGACGACGATTCGAATCGATTCCTATCCAGCTGGAGGGGTATTCCTAACACAAACCCTGCTTCCCCCGTCAGGGTCGCAAACAAGTCACCTTTGATACAACTCAGGAGAAAAATAAAAGAAAAGACGTGGGTTCGGGCCGCCTGGCATTCTCAGAGAACCACTCTGCCAAGGGTGATCGGGCCTTTAACCCGCCTTTGGGCTTACGCCAATGGCTCTCCGCACATTCTTACTACCTCTAGAATGCCCCAACCCCCACGGTTCCCGGCCTGAGTTGAGCTACTCGGCTTTGCGGTCGGAACGACTTATCCGGCCAGCTAAGTGTTAGGCTGCGTTTAACATGACCTGAGGACGTACAATGAATCGGCCCTTAAATGACACAGACGGGGATAGATTCACACCCAAGACCTCCATGCCTTGTTGCTGTACTACCGTCATCCCGTCTGGTCTCCATTCATTATTAACACATGGTTCTTTTCCCACGATAGCAAATATAGCCAACCATGACCAGAGCTCATCCTACATCTCGCAGGTGACAGGAAATCACCCGACTTCTACCGGTCTATGCATAGCTAAGCATCATTCGATCCTACACTTAATTAGGATTCATAGGATTTTATCTGGACAAGGTAGGGATATAATGCAATAATTGGTTCCAACCAATTCCTATACTTAATGCATCATCAACAATAAAAGATACTCAATATATTTGTAAAAACATGGGAGGCTTATAATGCTCTGGGGCTTGCCTGGGATCCGACACAAGTCAGTTTAGTTAGCTTGCACCGTTCTGGTGACATCTCCGGTCCTAGCACTCGCTTAGTCCTTCCACCTTCGGGATAGATCCTCCATACACCGTCTTCGGGTTCGGTTCCAACCTCACGTCCTTCACGTGGTTCATCTAGCGCACCTAGATGAGATGCAAGATGCATGTGTATGAATGTGATGAATGGTAACACAAGATGCATCACATAAGCATTCAAGACAAACACAAGATTATGCAAGACATAGACACCAATAGCTATTTAACTAACATCACATAACCTATCATGCTAAGATGGTAAAGAAGACGACAACACCAAGCATGAAACAAGTTTCCCAAGATCTCAGGTGCTCTAACTCAGTCATCATTCAAGGCATAAGTCACACTTAACAATATACAAGCAAACACTATAATTGGAATCTGCCAATTTCTGGACATGCAAACAGCAGCTACAAGATTTAGCTATAACTGGAGTTACATAAATCCAAATAACTTGCAACAAGACATTTTGGAAAGCTTATGAAATTATCTACATTTCATCTATAACCATTATAGCATGATTCACAAGTTAAGTAGGTCAAAATTATACATTTACAGAAACTGGTCCACAATTGACAGAGAACAACCATTTCTGAAACCCAAATTTAAACAGGCATAACTCACAAACTACAAGGCCAAATACCACCAAATTTTAACAGCAGCTAGATACATGAATTATCTACAACTTTTGTATAAACAAGTTTCACAACAAAGCACATTATCATAAAGAACTTTGCTAGGTTCCCAGATCTATCCATAAACTACATTTGCAAGAAAATAAATATTAACTTATGTTGCAAACACATAATTAGGCAAAACCAACTTTACCAACATGTCACACATGACTAAAGAACACCAGAAAACCTAGTGTCCATGACCAAATAACTTATTTTAATACATTTCTTATTTTATTTTAGATAACAAGGTGACTTAATGAACATATACCAAAAGTATACAATAAATTCTACAAAAATTACAGTGGATCACATATCCTTTCAATAGTATACTGTACAAATTTCACTCCATTTTAATATGTATAGCAACCTCTATGAAAAAGACAAGTTGCTAAAGCAAGAAATCATGTGAGAGCAAGATAAACCAATAACTCACTCATACTTCATCCAATACTCATGAAATTTTTACCACACATCAACTATCACATGAGTAGCATGCCATAAAAATTTCACTTCAATTTGGAGCCCTAGATCTGTAGTTATAGAAAATAACAAATTCAACTAGCATTACAACCTTACTGCACAAATCTATTTTTACCGTAAAATATTGAAACTAAAACATGCCATATTATAGATCTAATGCATAGAAAATTTCACAAGGATTCCAAAAAGTTCTCATTTGCTATTTTACAAATTTCCTATGAATTACTATGAATTTCCAAAGATTCAGCAATTTTACTGCAAATGGGTCCTTATCGGCACTATTCATTTGAGTCACAGACTTCGCAGTTAGACCCCTTCCCTTAGTCTAATTCGTGCGCGAGGTCCCTGGTCCCAAAACACAGCAGGGGAGGCACGGGAGTTCGCCACTGACGGCCGGAGGAGGCTTAACGGCGGCGGTGGAGTGGTGGTGGAGCATCAATGGAGTCGTCTTGCACCTGGGGATACAGCTCATTTCGGCTTTGAGGCGGCCCGAGGTGGCTTAACCCACACAGGCGGCGAAGCTTAGCCCGCCTCGGCCATGACGGCGCTTCAGCGTCGACCGACCGGCGATGGCATGACGAAGGCGGCAGCGCAGTGAGAGAGGGTGGAGGCGTGGGCCGCCGGGCGCGCATTATGGAGGAGCAGGCGCGAGGCGGCGGCACGCGAGCTAGGGCCGCTGCGTCGGCCATGGCGGGCGCTCTGCGGTGCATGGCTGCCACGACGGCGTTTCGTCGAACACGTGGTCGCGGCGTCGCGGTGCTCGACTTGGAGGCCGTGATAGGGATGCTTATGTGCCGAATCGGCTATGGCCCTTGAATAAAAATGTTCCACTTATGACGATCTACAAACTTTATTAAGGGATCATAGCCATTGGGGCAATAGATTAGCGGTTAATGACACTCCAAGATGGCGGTGTCAATGCATTAACTGATGATTAACAACCTCCGAGAATTGATGGGCAAAATGAAGTCAATCGAGTGTCATCTTCATACATGCTCTTCTCCATCATGTATACTCCAACTTTTATTTTGGTACCTACTCAAGTTGTTAACGAATTTCGAGAACGCGAGACGCCAATGACGATTTATTTGATGACTTCCGACTTAGAAAAATTCTAAGTCTGAAAACAGCTGCTGATTCAATTTTGAGCCTCTGTTTGACTTAGTTCCAAGTTGATCTGGCTCTTGTTCCAAAAACAAAGTTTGTTCTACTCTACTCAATCTTCAACTTTTATTTAATGTACAACTCCATGCAAGCACTGTAAGTGGTTGGTCAACATAGGTCAAAGTAACGTTACTGTAAAGCTTAAATTAGAGTTATTAACCGATTGAGGCATTTTCTTGACTTCTGCTCAACATGAACCTTTCATGACTTTTGTTGTAGAGTTCAATTAGAGTCATTTGGGCAAGGTTGCAAGATTTGGTTGATGACCTACATTTCCCTTCACTTAATAGTGCAATTCAAGCACTTAGTAAAGTCATTCCAATAAGGATATAACTTATCATTTCATGTGACTTTTTGATTCCAAACTTCATGAAACTTTTCCAGTGATTCATATAGATGGGTATTGATATGAGACACATGAAGATATTCCAATAACACCAGCCAAGCATGTATCTTGAAAAGGGCCTATATGTAAAGCAAGGGTGCAATATCCGAGTTTAGGTTGTGGCTCATTTCCATAGGTTTGACCTTGACATCTTCATCGTCACTTAATCTGTCATGTTTGAGCTCAAACCCACAGCTTAACTAGTGACAAACACCTGGGGTGTTACAGTAGCCAAACCCTGGAGGAGGTCCGAGGGTGTATGGTATGGTTTTCGCATTTACTGCGTCTGTTATTGTATGTCTTCTTTATTGCTTGGTGAGGAATAGCAGTGAAAGCGGCAGCGGCGGAGGTCAAACGGCGTCCACTGGACCGCCCGGCGAACACGGCCAGAGCTGCACAAAGTGCCGCCCATGGGTTGTAGAACGGTGCTTGGGGGGGCGAGAGCCGCCGCCGATGTTGGAGACCTCTTGGTGGTGGTTGTGGCCCCACCACCACACGCGACAACCCGATGCACTATGAGCCGCCTCGCCAGGCGTGCCGCCTTCAGCGCTTTGGCCTCGGGTGCCGTGGCCGTGGCCGACATGGCTGCCCCAGCCCTCGCTCAACGTAGGAGCGCCAAGCAGAGGGCGCGAAGCGATGACGCGCGATTGTCGTAGAGGATGCCGGCGGGTCCGATGCCCCTGCGGCTTCGCTTGCAGCAACGTCGTCGATGTCGATCTCCTCGAGCAGGAGGAGTGTGCGAGCCTCCTCGAAAGTGGGGAAGGGTTGCCGCAGCTTGAGGTTGGAGACCATGGGCCGGAACTTGCCATTGAGCCCGCGAAGGAGAGTGAGGACCAAGGTCCGATCCCCGATCGGATCGTCGAAGTCGCTGAGGGTTGCCGCCATTGTTTCAAGACGGCGGCAGAAGTCGGTGATGGAGGCTGACCCTTGTTTCACCGTGCGGAATTCCGCCGAGAGTAGTAGGGCGTGCGATTCGCGCTGGCCGAGGAACTCGTTCTCGAGGTAGGTCTACGCGCCGCGCGCGTTCGGCTTGCGGTTCATCGTCGACTGCTGGAGATCGGCGTGGATGGTGCAGTAGATCCAAGTGAGCACGGTGCAGTTCATCTGCACCCACGCCGGTCGATCGGCGTTGACGACGTCGGAGAGGACGTGGTCCGTTAGGGCATACTTGCCGAGGACAACGAGGAACATGGACCGCCACCGGTTGTAGTTGTCAGCGGCGCGATCCAAGACCAGGGGCACGAGGACCTTCATGTTGAGGACGGCGATGGCGGCGGCGTGGACGTTGGCGTACTTGGCCTCGTACGCGTCGAGGGCCGCAACACGATCGGCCTCTGCCCTGCGGGCACGCTCCTCGCGAGCCTGGCGTTCGGCGTCGGTTTCCGCCATGGGAGAGGGTGAGCAGGACGACGCGGTCTCAGGTATGCGAGCGGAGGATCGTGACTTCGCGAGTCAGCGGATCGCGCTGCGTCGGGTAGCGCGGGGGATCAGGCCGTGCTCTGCGACGGCGCTCGCGCGATGGGAGGGGCCGGTGAGCGGGACTGGCTCTGCGATGGCGGCCAGCGAACGTGGGTTCAGCGGCGGCGCGATTAGGGTTTGCGGAAGCAAGGAAGGAATCGTCTCATGATACCATGAAAGAGTAGGATTAGGGAATACTTAATGTATTACTGTGTATGATCAGCGTTTACATATATAGACATTGTGGGAGGCCAGGCAGGCCCACGCGCCATATTACATTCCAACAGGTATGGTCGACACTGAACCTGGCTGCTTGTTGTGTTTGCAAATTTGTGTGTCTATGAAGATTTCTTCCAAGGGACTGTCCACTGATCCGTGCATATGGCGCCATCCGTTTCGATGCCACGAGTGATGCTTCAGTGGAGTGGGAGGACTATGGCTCATTCTACTTCATTGTTCCTCAAGTAAGTGGCTCTGCAACTGCTAAACTAGGAGATGGAACGGGATGCTGTGATCTTACTCTGAATATTGTGAAACTGTCTGAAGTCTGAACTATGGTGTAGGTTGAGTTCAATGAGCTCGAGGAAAGCTCCGTCCTTGCGACGACAATCGCTTGGGATGACTCGCTTTCATGGACATGGCGGAACGCCGTGGAGGAGCTCCAATCAACTCTGCGAAAGGTGCACATTTCTCTTCGTCCAGTTTTTTTACCACCTAGAAGATAGTAACAGTCTGTATGTTTCTCAGATATCGACTTGTTCTGTTCAAGGGAACAAGACCAGCCTACAAACAGCCATAGTAAGTCTCAATCATGTCCCAACCAAGGCATCTTGGGATCTTGCAGTTACTAAAGCTCTTCAGATGATCAAAGGGAGGCAAAGAGAATTGGTAAAGGTAAGCCGTTCTGTTAACTTTGATCCTATTATATTAACAGCCAGAAGCATCTCTGGATTTAGAGGTTGTCATTCCATCTAAACAAAAAATGCATAGAGAAAATAGAGAAGCATAATGATCAACATTATTGATTGTTGCTTGTTAACTGTGGGCCCGTGACAGAGAAAACAGACAAGTACAGTTGACACTTTGACAGAGTGCACAGGTTCATTGCTTGCTTCTAGCCAATAGGTTTCAAGTCGGACAACCTTATCAATTTTAGAAAAGTTCATGTATGATTGATGTAAATCCATGTTGAAGCTATTATTGACTTAATTTATGATTTATTATTCTACTTTTCTTCTATTATTTGTTTAGAGCGTGTCTGAAACTATGAATGGAGTTACCAATCTTTTTCACAGGTTGTACTGGCAAGGTGTAGCAGATACATTACTGATACTTGCATTGACCCTGTGGAACTGCTAGCTTGCTTGAAGGTCTGTATGCTTTTTCCCCTACCTTGCACTTTCAAAATCGATTTTATTCTATGAGAAAATCACTCTGTAATTTAACTATACAGGTTGAGGGCCAAAATGCTTATCAATTCTGCATACAACCACCAGATGCTCCTGCGTTTGTTGGAAATAGCGTATGTTTACTCTGTTCTTTTTTAAAAAAAAATAATAATCATCGCTGCATACTTGAGTTTTTTCTTCTTCTATTTAGTTAGAAAAACTGTCAGATGTATTTCCTAGTTATGTTGCAGAAATGCTAAATCATCATTTTCTAACTAATGTTAATTTTATGCAAACATTCTGAATAGCCAGAGCAACTATTTCACCGGAAACACTTGAATATTTCCAGTGAGGCTCTAGCTGGTACTCGAGCAAGAGGAAAAACAAGGGCAGATGACTTTCAAATCGGTCAGGATTTGCTTCTAAGGTTCTTTTCCCTCCTTAGAATTTATAACTTACTATGATCGAGGGAGTCAGTGTGAAATCAACACCTTGTACTAAAATTGAGCAAGTACTGATGCAAAAGTTTCTTGCAGTACCAAAGAGGATATCGAATTTACTATAGTACGGGACAGCATAAAGAACAAGTTGGAGGCAAGTTTAGTTCTAGAAATACTGGCGCTCGACATGGACATAATGCTTTTCTGTGAGGGGGATGGTCCCTGCAATTTAATAAACTAGCCTCTGTAATCTGATCTGCAGATGATCTGTGATGAGGTGGTTGTCCATCCCAGCAAGGCTCTGCGGAAACTTCCAAGAGTACAGCATTTGTCAGCGCAGTTAGCTGCGAGAATAAGGAACGAAGATGATGAGGTAACCTATGAAATGAAAGCACTTAGAGGCTGGGACCTTTGTTACGTTATCTAAAAAAAATGTTTGTATGTAATCGTCAAGAACATGAACCACTCACAGTCAGAGTACACTAAAATAATGATAACAAGTTGTCCTGGCAATGCAGTTTGAGATTCTAAATACTCTTCATCCGAGTCCAGCTGTTTGTGGCTTGCCAACTGAAGAGGCACGCCGATTCATACGAGATCATGGTATGTCTAAATATTTTTTTGGATAATTTGTAGAATGTGTATTTACCAGTCTTTCTAAAATAAGAACAGCACAAGAATTAAATTCAGTGATTTACAAATACTAAGTTTTGAATATTCTCACAGAAATTTTTGACCGTGGAATGTATGCCGGTCCTGTTGGTTGGTTTGGAGGAGCTGAAAGCGAGTTTGCTGTTGGGATTAGATCAGCGTTACTTGGAAAAGTAAGCAAAACTACGAATCTGTTAAAAGTTTACCTACTATGCAGTTCCCATCTTGTATTCTAACTTGTTTTTACCAGACTTGCATATATAGTTGATTAGTTGTCGTATTTTACAGTTACAAATCTCCAATGATTCCAGGGTCACAGCACTTTAGTGTACGCCGGTGCGGGGATTGTTGAAGGTACAAATCCATCTTTTGAATGGGATGAACTTGATCTCAAAGCATCTCAGGTACCATTTTGTCGAACTCATGACAAAACAGTGTGCTGAGTTTTAATTAAAGAGTAAGGCTAATGCATTCAATTTTTGGGTTATTTTCAGTTTGCAAAGCTGTTGCGGTACCAAGAACAACATATTCGCTACCAAGAGGCTGAAAATTTGGGAACAGTAATCTGAATAGAGAAGTACAGTAGTAACTAGTAAGTCATCACAAAGTTCAGCATTCATTTAGCTAGTTATCGTACACTTATTTGTTTGATAGTAAACTAGAAGGGTTTCAGTTGAAATTGTGTAATTATGGGATTCAAAATGGGAGTGCTGAAAAATACATTGATTGAATCAGCACGTGAATGTAACAGAATATATTTACAGCATAAATTATTTGATTGAATCAGCACGTGAATGTAATAATAGACTATATTTACAGCAGAAACTCATGGCAATTGAAAGTTTGAAACATTCCATTTTGCAGCTTTGCTCGGTCCTTGTATATAGGCGGCATACTATTTGACTAAGTATCTGATGAAATTATGTGAAATTTGTACTCACTGGATCAATAGTAAATCTTCTATCCAATATAAGAGCAAGAATGATACGGTTTCATACAAGCATTGTGAAAGCTGAGGTTGTAACAATCTCCAAGCTATTTGTATTAGAGAGAAATGGCAACAATGGTGCTGGTGTGCTGATTATAACAAACAAGTCCATGCCTCTCAAGGTCTTACATTCCTACAGGAATATTTTGATTGGATTATGACAATTCCAAGATGAAAGACTTGTCCTCGTAGAAACTATCAACGACTCAGGCAGAGTGTGGTGATACGGAAGTTGCAAAACGTAAAGAGATCCATAGAAAGTACTTGACATCAGTATATGTACAACAGTTGTGAGTTGCAAGAACCCAGCTATCTGAAAAGCCAGGCTGAAAAGTACGGTCACTTAGCCAGTTTGAAAAGTACTGTTCACCTATGCGCCGAGAGAAAAACAGTGCAGCGTGGCTGATGAGGCAAGCGAGCAGGAGTGTACAGGTATACAACTGTATACTCGAACAGTCGAACCCTCCAGCCTACTTCTACTGGGTGTTGAAGTTGTTTATACAGCTGTATACTTGTATATGAACATATATGCAACCATATTCATGAACATACAGAGCTTTGTACACAAACACAACCTGCAAAATCAAGAAGAAAAAAAACTAGGCGGGCAGGTAACTGAAAAGAAGCAAAAACAGGTCACATAGTACCTTGACATCTATTCTCTTCATGCTGTGGGCTGTGGCTGTGGGCTAGTCTGTCTTCTTGACCCCAGGCAGGGGCAGGCCACCATAGTGATAGAACAGCAGCAGCAGCATGAGGAGGTATCCGACGGCGACAAGCGCGACCAACCTGGCGTCGTCCCTGGCCAGGTACGCGGAGAAGGCCGAGTGGACGGTGAGCACAGCGAGAGCCGTCAGCCGGAGCCATGGCGCGGCGCGATCGCCATGAGCTGCAAGGGAGGAGGAGGAAGAAGCATCGCCAGCTCTCCTGGTGTTCTTGGATTTCTTGGCCATGGATGGTGAGAGGAGAGCGCTGCTCCGCTCTGGAGAGTGGAGGGGAAAGGGGAGCTCAATTTCCCCGGGACGACGGACGAGTAGCTTTCAGCCTTGCTTGTCCCCACATCGAAGGATCAGGCCTACGTGACCACTGACAAAGTTTTTGCTCTGCCCCGTGACGACATCCTTTTGACTATACGGACGCACAAAAAGTGCAAGGAATCTGGTACTCCCTCCGTCCAAAAGAATATAATTATAGAATTCGTATCGATCAAATTAGTTTAAATTTGATTAAATTTATAGCCAACAACATTAATATTTATATGTTTCCAAATAAATTTATTATAAAAATATATTATATAACTAATCTAACGATACTAATTTTACATCAGAAATGTTAGTAATTTTACAAACTAATTGAGGTTAAAATTCAAACTAATTGATTTTTCGAAAAACGAGAATTACATTTAGGAACAGAGAGAGAGTACTAGAGATGAGAAACCATACGAGTCAATGTCACGACTCACGACCCGGTGAAACACTATCACCAAGTAGTCTCTGGTGGTGCGGTGTCTGGGCATTAATAGTTTCTCCATACGCTTATTACGTATCTTCTCGCAAACTGCTGATTTGGGGACAATCTCACAGCTAATTTCTTTAGTTTAGCTAGCCCTTCTCAGCTTCAATGATGATGTATAATTCTCTCAAACCTTTAACTCTCCTTCTATATTAAATACAAATATATCATGTCTCATGTTAGCTTTACAGTAAGAGGCAGTTTGGATCATTTTCATTTTGGAGGAATTAGATTCTACTTAATGAATTCGAGGCTGCTAGTTCCGGGACATGAGGCTCTTGGCTACGTCCGAACACTGCTCCTAGCTGTCCCATACAAGCGAGCGGAACTGTCAAATCCCGCGTCTTCCTCTAGAACGTCTCGTTTGTCCACGTGATTCCTCCCCCGACACAAGAGCGCATGGTGCGATGATGTGCCCTGTCCCAACCACGCCGCATTCGTCGCGCCACGCCCTGGTCTTTGTCTGTTGCTACAACATGGGGAATCAACAAAGTGCAACATACAACATTCAATTACAAAGGAGATGATATATCCTTAATCGATAAGCAAAATCATCGGTTACTGCATCATAGTTTTATTGCTATGCAACATGAGAAATCGATCATGGTAATATCTCAGTCTCTTTGCTGCAACATGGTAAATCAGCAGAATGCAACATCAAACAGACAACTACTGCAACATCAAAATAAAGGAGACGCAACATCACTAATCAACATAAGAAAACGATTGCTTACTGCAACACCAATAAATCATCACTTACTGCAACACCAAACATGCTAGTTTGTGTGGGGGTATTAACCCCTATACCCTTACGGCTAGGCTTGGGCCAGCCCGGACCAGGGGGTTTTGGCCCACTAGAAGACTACGCGTGGCCTGGTCAATCTGTTCGGAGTCCCGTGCAAGGAATCAAGGCAGATTTAGAGATCAAGCAAGATCCTGGTCGGTTAGAATATGAATCCTTATCCAGCCACCTATGACAATTGTAACTGGTTAGGATTAGTTTCCAGATCTGTAACCCTGCCCCCCAGACTATATAAGACAGGCAGGGGACTCCTCTCAAAAACATCTCTCATTGACATACAACAATACAATCAGACGCAGGACGTAGGTATTACGCCATCCCGGCAGTCGAACCTGGATAAAACCTCGCATCTGTCTTACGTCACCATCTTGTTTGTAGCTTGCGCATCTGCCTGCCGATAATCTACTACCTTGGGCATACCCCTAGGTAGGTTTGCCGACCATATTTCGTCGACGGTTAGCGCGCCCGCCGTGGGGGGGTGTGTCGCTCTCCGATTTAACAAGATGGTCATCATCCCTTGTTCCATGGCTACGCCGAAACGACCTCCACGTTCACCATCGGCGGATCACCGGACCATCGGCTCCGACGACTTCATCGCCATGACCACGGAGGAGGCGCGGATTCAATCTGCGTCGACCATCGCTTCATCTGCGCCGGCTATGGCCCGACCACGGTGGATCCGCTCGCTCGCCATGCCAAAGATCGCCGTCTTCAACCACGCCGATATAACCCGTCGTCCGCTTCCTCGCTACAAAGGGAGGCAGATCGACAACTCGACTGCTTTCGACTCCATCGATCGGGTCGGCACCAAACTTGCTTGAAACCCTAGCTCGGTAAGTTCGATTCAAAGTCAACCTAATGAGCGGTAACCAATACCCACAATGATCTGCCCGACCAGGCTCGGGCGATTAAATCTGCCGCGACTTCGGTATGAATCTCGTGGTCACATCTACTCCTGAAGGGCGCTCCGTTCGTCGCCGGCCAGCCCCCGCGATGGGTCTCCGGATCTCCGAGTACGAAGCCTCGATGGAGAACTACCAGGCTCAGCCCTATGGCCTGCGAAACTCTGCTTCCAACTATGCATGCAATATGCAACGATCTTGGCCAAAACCACGCAACTTCGTCAACATGGTCCGGATTGAGGAGTACCAAGAAGGATCGGTCCACACAGTTCAAGAGGGTGGCTCAAGCTCCCCGTCCAGCACCGCATCTAATGGCTCCATCCACACCGAGCTCCAGCATCATGACAACGAAGGCATTAAATACGATCTGGATATCCCAGACCACGCCCCGGGGTTCCCACGATTCCCATCCTTCCCACCAAGACGAGGAGACTTGATCAATGTTGTCAGTAATGACGAACCACCGGCAGTTGGTGAAATAGAACAAGAAAGGCTAGCACGCGAAGCACGCAATATTGATCGGTTTAATCACCGACAAGTCAAAGCTGAGGCGAAAGAGGAGGCACGACGCATACGGGTCCAGCCACGTGACCTTAACAATGCCTTTGACAGGGTGGGGGACAAGCAGGTCTTCAGGACTCCAAGCACCAACGTAGCTGTTGCTATGGCGACAATGCAACGACTACCCAATACCCCAGAAATCCAGGCAGTTCGAGATGATATACAAGCTTACCTGACGGCTGCTATGGCCCAGACCGCAGAGATTGTGAATCAAGCCCAGGCTCCATCCGTCTTAGTCGAATCAAGCTACAACCACTAGTACTCAAGTCACTCACAACCACCCAACCAACGTGGCTCGCGCAACAACGACCCATCAGACAACCGTCAAGGCGGAAACGGTGGTCATGATGGTGGTCGGGACGACAACCGCCGCAACTACCAGGATGACAACCGCCGAGACAACCGCGACAATCATCATGATAACCACGGTCGTAGGGTTAACCAGGGTGGCAATCGGGGTCGCCGTGATGGCAATAACGATCTCCGCCATTCCCTTAGAGAACGCGATCTGCGCGATCGCATTAACCAAAGAGCTAACGATCGTGCATCCCACGAAAGCTATCGCCGTATGGAATATGATACTACCCACGGCCCTCCGGGTTTGAAGCAGTTTACTCCACACCTTCGCCAAGTCATATGGCCCAAGAACTTCAAGCTCGAAAAACTTCAGAAGTACGACGGCAAGGAGAACTCCGAATTATGGGTCATGCTCTACGAAACCACGTTCAGATCAGCCATGGCTGACGAGCACGTCATGTCTAATTACTTCCCAGTTGTCGTCGGCCATGCAGGCCACCAATGGCTGGTCAGCTTGCCGGTGAACTACTTTGATTCTTGGCAAGAGCTCAAGCAAGCATTCATCGACAACTTCATTGCTACTTGCGAGCAACCCGGCAACAAATATGATCTGCAGCGGATTCGAGATCGCAAAGATGAGCCACTGCGCGAGTACGTCCGACGCCTCTCGGAGATGCGCATCAAGGTCCCGGCAATCTCCGACAACGAGGCAATCGAGGCTTTCATCACTGGTCTCCGCTTCCACGATGCCCTAAGGGACAAGCTCCTCCGCAAGAGACCTAAATCGGTCACAGCGCTCCTAGCCACTGCTAAAAAATATGCGGATGCCGATGATGCTAAAAAGATAATCGTCGAAGAAGCAGCAAGGGTTCCATGCTCCGACCACCCTCCACACCGCGACGACTACCGCGACAACCGTGGTCGGAACGACAATTTTGATCGCCGCAACCAGCGCAACGATTCCCGCGACCACCACGACCAGCGTAATCAGCGGCGTAATCGTCGTGATGATTACAGGGGCAAGCATGCTCGGGAAGACGACGGCGAAGTCAACATCATTAAAAAAGGTGGCGGACGTCGCAATTACGAAGAAGACTACACCAAAGCGTTGAAAGGACCCTGCCAGCTCCATCCCAAGTCAAACAATACCATGGAGGATTGCCGTGTTCTCAAATCCATCTATACGCGCCAACAGGCTCCGGATAAATCCGACAAGCCTAACGACGTAGGGGTGCAGCGTGACGAGGACAATGATGACGAAGATGCAGATCCCCGTCACAAGTACGTCAAGCCAACCGACCGCGTCCATATCATCATTGGGGGCAGAGTGTCCATCGAGACCAAACAAGAGCGCAAGCTGCTCGCTCGCGCCTGTCTAAACGTGGCCAATACCGACAACCTCATCGCCGATCCGCGACTCCCTCCTTGGTCTCACCGCGAGATCTCCTTCAGCAAAAAGGACCAATGGGCTGCAATACCTGAGCCAGGGCATTTTCCTCTGGTTCTCGATCCTTGTATCAACAAGGTTCAGTTCGATAGAGTGATGATTGTTGGCGGCAGTTCCATTGATATTCTGTTCAAGAACAGTTTGTCGGCTCTGAAGATAACCTAGGCTAATCTCAAGCCATACGAGGCACAGTTCTGGGGTGTTCTCCCCGGATAGAGCTCAACACCTCTCGGGCAGATCACGTTACTTGTGCAATTGGTACTCCAGACCACTTCCACACCGACTACATCAACTTCGTGGTCGCTGACTTCAAAGGCACCTACCATGCTATCCTTGGTCGACCAGCGCTCACCAAGTTCATGGCCATACCTCACTACAGGTATTTGGTGCTCAAGATGCCTACTGAGAAGGGGGTTCTAACTCTTAGGGGCAACGTATACG